AGCTTACTTCTACAGGCCTTCGTGAGGCAAACCTGTGAACGAACGGAGAGACAAAATACGTAAAACAACCAGAAGAAAAACAGAGGGGAAGCCAGGAAAAGTGGTCGGGAGAGGGGGGTGGGGGTGGGGGTGCGCTGGGTGAGAACGTCGTCCTGCAATGGGTTTCACCAAGATCAAACAAAATGTTTGCCTGCAATACTCTTATTTTGAGACAATAAAGTTTTATTGATTCGTCTGTGCGGTTGATCATTCACAATCTAGACACACACAAAACAGACCAGCCAGTTCAACGAAATACCTAGTAATTAAAACCTGCATCGGAAAAAAAATAGAATTTATTATTAGTAAAGTACTAATAAATACCTCAACGGACAAGACAAAATTTTTACAATCTTCTTTACGTGATTTTGTTTGAATTTAATTTTTACGAAAAATAACTGCAAAATTATCTGCTATTCTGTGAAATCTCGCATGCCAGTTCAAACTCCCAAAAGAAAATCGCTCAAGTAAGATTTTAACATTGTTTGTTGTTACACCACACCCCATTACCTGTCCAACTATAGTTATACAGCGAAATATTTTCTATGCCCCGGTGATGCCGTCGATCGGCGATTATCCAATATGCCACTGAATTACATTAAACGCTTCGGAGTTTTCCTATTGGCTCCACAACCCAGTGACAAAATTAAGTGAAATCAAAAATAGGAAAAAGATATAAAACAACGTGGAAATCAATATAGACTTGTTTAAAAGACGACATATTAAATGTGCCTCAAAGCTGAAATTTGTTTTTTTTGAGCGTCAAACCAGCTGACTAATCTGTTTTGAACTATCTTTTTTTACTTTACAACGCTAGATTGAACTGTTTTACTAGAGCAATCTGTCATGTCATGAAAGAAAGAAAGAAAAACCTGTAATGCAATGAAGATGGCGACTAGGAACCGAGTGTGGTGACGGTGTGCTACTGACTTTGTAGGGCGAATGCCTCTAAATGTTTCGAGTAGAGGATTACAGAAAAGTTAAAAAAGCAAAAGGGAAAGAAAAGCGAATAAAACGTTTTGCCCTAAAACTAGTTCTTAATTGGTTGTTAATCACCTCGTCCTCGTAGCCAATATTTCGGAGGTCTCGCAATGCTTCTCACCACGAGTAGCGTTGCGTGACACACCACAGTTAACGTGACAGCTGAAGGTCTTCATGCAAGTGGTCGCTAAGTAACAGGACGTGTTCTTATTATGATAAGCAAAAGAGCCATCTTTAGAAACAGTGCTTACAAGTGTTGCTGCAATTTTCTGATAGGTTATTAAATAACAAAGTGAAGTCTGTAGTAGTCGCTTCCTTACTGTAAATAACTTGCTTAGTGCGTGTAAAATTATTAAAATATCTGTCTATAAAAACCGAGCATTATCACACAAGTGTTTTTCTCCTCCAGAAAATCGATGGCGCTGTTTCTGGCATTGTTTGGTAGACGCGTTAAAGGTCAAAATGTTGCGGGCAAAATTACTCGTATGTAAGCTTGTTTTCAAAGTTTTTTTCCCTTCGCGAAGTTGAAAACAAGATCCAACCAATGCAGCCCCAGAGGCCACCTGTTTGCACACCCAAACAATCCCAGACATCCTTGCGCAGCACTTTACTTGTGTCCAGTCCTGCAAAAGTTTCAGGAGTGGAGAACGTTCTTGTCTGATTTTCAGGTCCTTTTGGTTTCTCCGCAAGGAAAGAAGTCTGGAGGAGCGAAGATTAGGGCTCAGAAAGTGAAGTGTGTCACGTGTTGGGGTGAGAGAGCATGTCCCATGTTTTGAGCCACTTCCGTCGATTGATCTCAGCAGAGGAGAGAGCCACGTGACCGTACGTGAAAGGACTGTAGAAATGAAATCCCCACAGCACAATTACAACCAAGAACGCACAACACCCGTACAATATCTGACGAAGCACTTTGTATCTGAGGAAAGAACAGAAAAGGTTAAAAACATTTGTGAAAAGCTATCCAGGTAAATTTTTCCCAAAGCTTCTTCATGGAACCTTTGACTACTTCATGAACATTTGCACTTACACTAAATCATTTACCGGAAAAAAAATAAGAAGAAATGCCTTCTATTGAAATAGAGTGGACTGCCTAAATCGTTGTGTCAACGAAGTAATACAATACGATACAACACGATACTATACAATACAATACGATACGATGCGATGCGATGCGATGCGATCACAAACGATATCTTACGTGGTTCCTCTATTTCCCAAACGAATCAAGGTTGTGCGAGACAATAAGAGGGGAAGGGAGGCAGCTTTGGAGCAGTTTTGCTTTCAGGTGGAACGTGGCTCCGATTTTCGATGGTAAGTGCTAATTCTCTTACCAACTCTTGTCGAAAGTTGTTGCTCCCTGCACTTCTTGACTTTGCACGACACATGATCTCTAACGACTCCCTCTGTGTTTGCACTGGAATCCCTCTGGACCGGCACGAGTAACATACCCTCTCCCCTCCCCTAGGGTGTCCTGTGTGGACTTACCTAAAGATTTCTTGATGAACATGCTCTAACATCACTGGTAAAAGAACAATTTTAAAGAACAGCGCGGGAAGGTAATGGTGAATAAACAATGTTCTCTCTAGCGGGAAGAATGTGGCGAAGTGAAGAAGATATCCCATTACAACAGCTTCACCGCAGAACACGAACTGCTGCCATGAATCTGATCAAAAGGACACAAAGATGTTAACAAAACTTTTTTTCATCGGAACGTCATCATCTTAGAAAAGTGAAAATGAAAAAAAAAAAAAAAAAATGAGGAGGGCAAAGAAAAGTTTACATCGGACTTCATGTCCTCATTCCCAGGCTCATATCTCCTCACTTTCTCGAGGAAGGAGGAGAAGGGACCCTGGGAACGAGGGTGCGGATTGTTGAGAGCTACGATGACGTAAAAGGGGACTCTTTGCCGACGTCATAGTTAACAGGTAAATTAAAAGCATATTTCCATAGAGAAGGCTCTACACTAGAGACCACTTGACTCCAAACTTGACACACAAATTTGTGAAACTTAGAAATTGCTGACATTCTTAGCTCTCTGGA